GAGGCAAAGTGATTTCATTTGGTCTGTGTCCAAACGACAATAACAAAACTACAAGAAAAAATCCTCAGCAAATTAGTCCCATTCATTCTTTATTAGGGAAGAGTGGAGAAAAAAAATCACTATCTTATTTTCTTACCACCCCCAGCTCTGCCTCCAGTAATCTGTATTATATATAAACTTTTAAATTTTTCAAAAGGAAGAAGAAAATCCCAAATCTAGCCATGAATTTTTCACACCAACTTCACTAGACAGGTTTTCACTCAAGAACAACAAGAAACTGAACAAAGTTTGAAATTTAAAAATTAATTACCTTTATTTACTTACAAAAATATGGCTAAGCTGCTGGTGTTTATCTGCCTCTCTCATCTCACCCTTTAGTTGTTCCTAACAGTTCATCATTGTCCATTCATATCTCATGTTATTCTTTGCAGAAGTGGGCAGACCAGGATCATGCTCGCTCTGAGTTTGTACAAAGCCTAGCCTAACAGGCTCCAAGTTCAGGCCATGAGTTCTGGTGTTCTAATAACTAGCAGTATTTATAAAAATAACATTATCATTATTAGTCTGAAAGGGAACATTCAATTTTCCTCCTAAGTTCCTACCTAATGTGTCTTGCAAGGTCTCTCCTCCACTAAGCAAATCTGGTATTTGAAGCTTGTATTTTGCAAGTTGCCCCTGAAAATACATTTACACACACACACAAAAGCTAAATTAAATAGCACTTTGCTAATCAAGCAGGAAAACCCACTTTTTTGTCCACAATGAGTATACAGTCCATTCAAACACCAAAGGTGAAAGTCTGATTTAAAGGACAGCAATGAATTCATACTTGGCTTTAGAAAGAAGGAGCAAAAGAGACGAGAGTGAATTCAACACAGCTGAATGACACATAACTGATTTCTTCCACACGAGCTCTAAGGATTCTTCTGCATCCCATATATCACACAAATGTCTTTATCTTTAAAAAACAAAAAAAGGCTGACAAAATCAACCCAAAACATAACAAACCACAAAAACTGTCCAAAAGGATAATTTTTCATGAACTCCTACCAATGTCTGCCATCCCCACTCTGAAACCTCTGGAACGAACTTGTACATCTCCTTACTTTGCACCTGTCATAAATTTCACTTCACAAGGTGGGTAAAACTGCGCCCAATGTTAAAGTGTAAGCATGAAGTTAAAGTCTTGCTTACACTGCTTGGGCTTTTGTATTCCTCTGCCATCACCACACAGCTCTCTGGGCCTTTAGTTTTCAGATTCTTCATTTGATCATTTTCTATCATGTTGGGTGCTATGTGTTTGCAGGATGAAATCCACCTGTGGGGAATTCATCCTTCTGAACTATGAAGAGGTGCTCAGAAACAAGGCAGTATCTGGAACCCGCAGTTCCATGGCTGAGGAATAGGTGCAGCACCCATAGTCAGCTGGATTAGGAATGTCCTGTGTTCATACTCTTAGCCTGGGGACAGAAATTGGGCTGGAGATAATCTGGCAACTCAACTGGGCTGAACAGAAGAAAGCACTAACCCCTTTACTATTCATAACAGTAGAGAGAACATTGCAACATGCTGGCATGTTATCACAAGCCCATGTTCACTACTAGCCCATATTCTCAATCATAGCACTCTGAACATAGTTCACAGACAAATTAGTGTAACTCTGCTACTTGCAGTGGGGTTTTCTTTTGAATATCTGATAAAGTCAGCATTGGAGACTGCTGATGGACCCTACTTCCAAATTCCTTTCCCTATCATCAAACTCATCAGTTTCCACAGACTGCATTAACCCCAGCATGGCACTAATGTGACTGTTTGTGATATCTGAACTAAGCTGCATACGAAGGATGAATTAAACAGGACTGCAAATTAACCCACGCTTCAAGACAAAGTACTAGCAATTGCACTATTTATACTTTTCATCTCATTTCAAATGGCTGAAAATCCAAATGCAGCCAAAGCAAATACGGGCTGCACAAAAAGAGTTTCACATGCAAAATGAGTCTGCATAATCAGCACCTTGGTGTAATTAATTTCCATACAGAGATTAATGAACTAGTTCTGACAAAGTCAGAAAATACAGCACTTCTCAACAAGGCTTTACAGGCTCTCCAAGATTCTGGCTATTCTGCCATTACCCACCAGCCACACACAGCACACTCATGCCTATTCTAGCATGGCCACATGGCAGGGGAGAAAAAGCAACATAAATGCTCTCCTGTGTTTTCCTCCTGGACAGCTAGACAGCTACAGCAACATACAGACACAATTTTTGTATATTCCCCATGACCACCAGTCTCTCTTTTTGGTCATATATGTTCTCTCTTTCCACGACTTCAGAAACTGGAGAAAATATTTATCTTTATAAAGTACTTCTTCCTCTCTATCCCCATGCTTAAGAGTCAAAACTAGATTACCAAAGGCACAGCCACACAGTGGACTTCTTTCTGGAGCAAAGAATATGGCTGTAAGATCTAACAGTGCAAGTACTTAGCTGATTTTGACTAGTGGACCAAATTCTCAGGCAGCTTTTAACAATATTAATTCCACTGCTTACCCTATGATGTTTTCATCCACCTATCACAGGCAGTCCATAGATGTGACTTTGTCACAAGCCCCTGAAACCTCTAGCTTTAAAATGCCATTCCACCCAAGGGCATAGACATCAAGTGTACATGCGAATACACACCAGAACACCGTGTGATGCTCCTTAATTGCATTATCCAGACAGCATATGCTGCCAAACCCAGACCACTTTGCTTTCATGTCCAAATAAATTTTGAAGCTCTTTAGGATTTCTCTTATTATGAAGGATATTAGTCAATGCAACCATTTATGCCATCTCTCAGGAGTGGACACTCCTTCAATATATTTTGATCCCAGTGCCCAATTCAGAAGCCCATGTCAAAAGCCGACAGTCAAATGCTGCTGACTCCATGCCACTTCTCCATTTGGAAGGCATTCCAGCTGACAAAGCACAACCAGATCATGCCAGTCCTATTACCTTCCCAGTGCTTTGCAGCTGGACCTCAGTACTCATTTTATGCGTGCTTCTCTCACTAATAGAACCCACTTGGAAAACCCACTTTCCAACACACTCAGGGCCACATAGCCAGGAGCTACTCTTGGGAAGCACCTTTGCAGTTCAGTCGCTTCAGGCTCAAAAGCACTCAGATACACAATGCCAAAGGCAGAGAAGTTTAATCTGTTGCTTTAAAATTAATTGGAAGAACCCTCCCATTAAGTTTTGAGAACTCCCACACTAACAATCTCTAAAGAAATACACAGAAACCAAAGATAATTTATTTACAATGTTAAATTTTAAGCCCTTGTAGTTTATAGTACTCAAAAGTATAAACAGAGAAAGCAAAAGCCGAGCAGGTAACGACAGAAACATTCCTCCAAAGGAGGTAAATATGTGCACCTGGTTCACAACGGTGATTTGACAGTTTATTATGTGCACTAAAAGCAGGCTAATAGGCATTACTATACTCATCTCACCTATTAGGTACGTTTACTATTCAAGGAAGTAAATACATGCAAGCACAGTATTTCTGTATGTACACATACTCCTAAGTGTAAGGCGTGAATACCACCAACCTCTAACAGTCCTACTACTTGAAAGCATATTGAAAGAGGGTTGACAAAGAGGACAGTATACTCCAACATTATATGCAGATTATACCTATGTAATCTAGTTATATTCCAGTTTACTGTGCCCCACTTGAGAATTTAACTTTTTTTTCCTATTAGATACACATAGGAAGTCCCTCTAAACCTCCTCTACCACTTAAGACTTTCATTACTACGGGGAGAATGATGGGACCAGAAGCCCATTATGGTGCTCTTCATCCTAAGGTTACCACTCAAGTGTCAAGTGCTGGTTCAGGAGCAACAAAGTTGTCCCAGCCTCAGTACCATGGATGGTCTGACACAGACACCAAAACCACAACCATTGCCATTTGACAAACTCAGTGAAGAGCTACAGTCTGATGACCCAACTGCGTCAGACTGATTCTCTCAGTGCTGTAACAAAACTGATTTGAAGTAATATGGGGATAAGCTGCATTTCTGCTGCTACTTTCCTTTGTGTGTTGTTTGTTTTGGATTTGCTTCCTTCTTTTTCCCCCCATCAGTGGATACAGGAAAGACTCCAGTGGTAATACAGCACTCCTAATTATCCAACCCTGAACTCTTATTAAGTAAGAATTATTACCTAGGTTGAAAAAAAAAATCAATTAAAATGGGTGCCCTTTAAATTTTCATACACATTTATTTTCCATAACCAGTGGACATCTATCACACGAATCCTCTGTAGTACTATACACAGACTTAATCCTACTACCCTGGTTATCCCAAGAGAAAAATAATTACAGAAAACCCTTCATAATAAAATCATTAAGCCTAAATCTGCGGGATCTCAGCCAGTGGGTGTGTTCATCAGGTTGTTCCAAACCGCACCGATTTCAGCGCACTGCCGGCGCACGCTTGGATGGGATATGAATCGGGCCTCTGCAGAGAAGGGCTGCATTGCTAAACTTTCCACAGGTCGCCTACCCAGGCCTGCTGACCACGGCAACCCGCGCTCGCAGAAGCCCTGCCCGGCCCCGGCAGCTCGCACGCCCCGCAGGCACCGTTCTCCGAGCACCTCACCGCACACAGCCGGGCTGAACATCCTTCCAACCCCGTCAGCCGCGAGCTTCACCCAGCCAAGTCTCCACTCTCAATGCTCAAACTCCTTCAGACCCCGGAGACTCCTTACGCCCCCCGTCCGTTTTTAGCCGGCCGCCCCCGCAGCCCGCTTCGCCTGGGACTTGCTGAGGGCCGGCCGGCCCGCCCGCCGTCGAAGTCCCCCGCAGCCTCCCGGCGCCAGCCGCTCCCAGCCCCGCCGCCAACCCCAGGCCGCCCCCAGCTCTCGCCGGCCCGGGACACCGGCCGGCCCGGCCCGCCTCACGCCCCGCACCCCCGCCCGGGCCCCTCAGCCGCGCCCTCCCGGGACGCACCTTAAGGCTCCCCCGGAGGGGGCCCTTGCCGTGGCCGGCCAGCGCCGGGGGGGCGCTCCCCAGGCCGCCCTCCTCCTCCTCCTCTTCCTCCTCCACCTCAACCACCACGTCCTCGTCTTCGTCCTCTTCCTCCAGCGCCGCAGCGGAGCCCTCCCGCCGGGGCGGCCTCCAGGCGCTCTCGGGCTTGGGGGGCCGGACCGCGTCCACCTGCGGCGCCGCGGCGCTCAGCCGCCGGCTGCCCATGCTGGAGCGCTTGGCCAAGCGCCGCGCCTGCATGGTGCCTCCGCCCGGCCGGCCCGGCCCGGCCGCCTCCTGCCGCGCTCAGCCCCGGCCACGGGCAGCGGCCCCGCCGAGGTGCCCAAGGGGTGGCGGCGGCGCTCACCGGGGGGCGGCGGTGGGTGTGTGCGGCGGGCGCGCCGCGGCCATGGGGGCCCGCGACCGCGGCCAGGCGGGCCCGGAGCCGGCGTGGCCGCCCCGCCGCTCCCCACCTGCTCCCGGCGCCCTCCTACTCTGCCGGCTGCCCGCCCGGCCCGGCCCGGCCCGGCCCGGCTGTCGGGCGCAGCGCGCGATCCCCTCCCGCTCGCCCTTCCTCGCCGCCGCCGGTCCCCGGCGCCAAAACCCGGACTGGATTCCCGCCGGCCGCGGCTCCGCCAGGCGCGGGGCGCCGGGGCCGCGCTGCCTTCGCCCGGAGGCGCGGGCGGGTCTCGCTGCCGGGCAGGCCGGCCCCGCCGCCCACCCGCCTCGCCCCGAGAGCGCCCTGCCGGGGAGCGGCGCGCCGGGCCGGGCCTGCCCGCGGTTCTGAGCTGTGCTCACACGGCAGGCGGGCCGGGGGTGCCCGACAGGACATTGCAGCGTGTCCAGAGAAGGGCAGTGGAGCCGGGGAAGGGTGTGGAGCACAAGCCCTGTGAAGGAGCTGGAGTTGTTTAGCCTGGAGAAAAGAAGGCTCAGGAGGACCTTAGTGTTCTCGGCAAGTCCCTGAAAAACGGTTGTAGCCAGGCAGAGGGTGGCTTTTTCTCTCAGTAAGCAGTGACAGGACCAGAGGATAAAGTCTTAAGCTGCGCCAGGGCACGTTTGGGTTGGACATGAGGAGGAATTTCTTGATAGAAAAGGGTGTTTGGACATGGGACTGAGCTGCCCAGGGGAGGTGGTGGCGGCAGTCGTGGTCCCTGGAGGTGCTTAAGGAAGGACTGGAGATGGCACTTGGTACTGTAATTTAGTTGACACGGTGGTGTTCAATCATACGTTGGATTCGATGACCTCAGAGGTCTTTTCCAACCTAATTGGAAACTGGATTCCTGTGACAACTTCCACCTGCAGGACAGGCTGCCAGACTTCTCCAGCCTCAGTAAAATACAATTATTTCACTTCTCCGTCTTGATAAAGATAAATGGGGGTGGGGGGGAATGGAACTTTTGGAGGGAAAAAAAAAAACCCGAAATGAAGAAATTGTTTGGGTTTTTTCAAGATCAATAATTGAAGCAGTGGTATCTATATCCTGTTGAGAAGAAAATTCTCTGGAACAATTAGGGAAATAATTTCTGGTTCAAATTCTATGCTTTAAGCTTTAAAATGCCTTTCTGAAAAGCTTTAAAAAAAATTAAAATAGTTTCCAAAAAGTTTGAAGTTACTGTGGCCAGCATTTAAATTTGCTACAGGCTTCTGTGCCATTCATTAATGCCTCCTGAGATTGAATTATACTTAAAGTTGTCACATGCTTTTCCTAAACTCCTCCTCTATAAGTCTTAAGTCTGCATTTACATGTTATTTTTGAAACATATGTATATTCTTTTCCATCTACAAATGAATTACAGTCATTCCCTTCTCAGTGTTCAGTAGTTTTTCTCCCTGTACATTCTGTTCTAGCAACCTGCCAACAGGCTCAATGTACACATATTGTCAGCATGGGGCCAAGCTTCACCCTGGGTTAATTCATCCCTTTCCAAAAGTAATGCTGTTTTTTATTCTGGAATATAGCATACAGCATCTTTTAGGCAATAAATTATACATAATACACTACCCATTCTTAAAGAAATACTGAAGTTACTGTTCATGTCAAGTTGTTTGAATTCTCTCAACCCAACCCACAAACCAGTTGTTTGCATTCATTATTTCAAGGTTCTCAGAGACCTGCAACAAAATTGCTGGCAATTTCTGGCATATCAGAGCTTCCAGCAGCATTTCCCCACCCCTCCAAAAGTGTCTTTTCCAGATGTTTTCCCAGTGCTTTGACCAGCTGCACTGCAATGTTGGCTCAGCCCATCTCAGCAGAACAGCAGCCAAAACTCCTGGTACATGCTGCCGCTAGATATTCTGTCTTTTTTTCCTGCCACCACATGTATACTTAGCTTCTTGACACCTGGCTGAGTGGATCATTCATAGCTTTTTGAAGCTGATGTTGCATAAAGGACAGATCTGTGGAAGGGAAAAGGAAAACAAGACAAATGCTTTTTTTGTTTTATTCCTGTGCTGAATGTTCAGATTTAGAGCTTATATTTGACATAATTAAGTTATGCTTAGGTTTTACCTTAAACATGAATTTCAACATGAATTTCAATTATACTCATAGTCCTTGTACCTTAAAGGCATATAAATAGAATCATTCCAATTATTTGAAATGTTTTATATCATTTGAATACTATCTGAATCTTATTGTGATCTTCTCTAGTGGCCTGTGTTCACAGTTATCTGAACTGTAATTGTCACTAAGGGTCCCATTCCTATCTGCTACATACTGGGATATATACTGAGAGACTTCCTTAACTTTTTCAAACTCCTATATGTTTTAATTGCAGCAAAACAAGAAACAAATTTAGAAACTATATGCAGCAAGTGTGTTATCACTGAATTAGATTTTATGTGCTAACATGAACACCACAAATAACAGAATGGAAACGGAAGGATCTCTGGCAGAAAACAGTGGTGATAAAGGATAGCTGGGCTTGTACAGGCACATCTGTTTAACTGCCATGACAGCTCACACTTCAGCCTCTCTTTGAACTCCCTATTCATACTTTTTGCCAGGTTTGTTCTGGGACCTGCTGTAAGGTATAGCTAACTTGACATCTCTTGCCTTGAGGTTTGGTGGGTGAACATAAAAGCAGAGACTGTTAACCAATTACTAGGCTTTTAGTTGTCAGTTCAATATTGTTTCAAGAATTACTTAGCTGGGTTCTCTGGTTTGGGAGCATGGTGGCAGGAGGCAGAGAGGCTCAGGTTCTCAGGAACATACAAAGCATCCCAGGCCTGCCTGCCTGCCTGCCTGCCTGCCTGCAGGAGGATGCTCCATCCCCCAAAATACAGCCTCTTCTCCACAGGACTCCACCAGATCATGGCCCATCAGATCTCAAAGCAGAGCAGAACAGCATGTGAGCCCTACAAGAGTTGGTCAGGGGGACAGAGGAAAAGTGTAACCAAATTCTGGTGGAGGGAGAGGTGCCAAAATAGTTTTGGGGTCCAGAGGGAATGAAAATCCAGAGGTCATTAGGCTGATGGCCAAGGCAGTCCCAGGAAGGGGTTTGGAGAAGACTGACTTTCCATTAGTAATCTGAGCTGCTAATGTTTTTTACTCCTGTTGGGTTATCAAATACAATGAGAAGCCAGTGTTGACAACTCTACAACAGATTGGTTAAAGATTTCTAGCACTTCTCAGGCGAGCCAGATTGGACTTGTAGTAGGAATAACTTCTCTCACAATATTTGATACAAACAAAAGATAGAAAATACTGTTTGCTCCCTTTCTTCCAGTCTGTCTGATTTGCAGTATGAATGGAACTGAAGCTGAACCCTTGCTGTCCTTCCAGTGCTTCCCAGGGGAGCTACATTGTGGAGGAAGTCAGGGAGTCCTAGATACAGTCTTCTTCTATATCTTTACATTCACAAACAGTTAAAAGTGAAGCACAGGTCATAATCCACTATCACACATCAATATTTTTTGCCCGAGACTCAGTCTTAGCACTCTTGGGGTGATCTGTTGAACATTCTGGCCCATAGCCGTGGCCAAGTAAATTCTTGTGATATATGGGGTAATATGGTATCACTTAGCTCGACAGAAGTATCTCATGATTGTACCCCAGCATAATATGCCTCTAACATAAGTACAGGCTCTGGCTGGAATAGGAGTTGTTTACATGTCAGTGATTTCCAACCTTATTAAAAGTTAATGTGCACATCCACACTCCCTTTGTGTACACAGCTCTCCAACACAGCAGAAATGTTTCAGATGCTTCTTTGCCTTTAACTGTAACAATCAGTTCATACTTCCAAGAATGAAATTTCTATCTAAAGACATATGACACAATTCAAATGATAAGTACATATCAGCATATATATCTCCTTCTAGAAGTTCTTCTCGAGCAATCTGTGAAGGTGAATTACACTGACAGCTTTTCAGTTCATCTTGAATAACTATTGCCTAACTTCTTTCAGTATACCCACTGCACTAGCCACAGAAAAAAAAAAAATCTGGCTTTCCCTAGCACTGCCTTAACTACTCTGAGCTAATTAACATGAGGTGGAGTTGTCTTACCGTACATATTTTCCCCAAACATTTAATTTAGTCCATCGTTAAGTATTCCTCAAATTTTTAATATAATTATTTACTGATCTGTTTGACATTCTGTTCTATTCAGCAGCTGCTACTGTGATCAAGACTGCAGGCAAAGCTTGCCTGACATCACATCAAGGGAACAAGTTCCTTTTACTTCAAAAAGCACAGATTTTTCTGTAATGCTGAAGGAGGCACTACTCTGTAACCTCCCTGCTCGCTGGTCCCAGAACTGTTTCGAGCAGGGACCATCACTCAGCAATGCAGCTTCCAGCAGGGACGAGCACTAGCCACAGCTAACAAGCAGTAGTACTGGTGTGCTTTAGTTTGCCTCATAGAAGAAGGTGGCTACATCAACAGCAGGCATTTTATTGGACCACCTTGAATCCTGCCTCAGCTAGCTCTCTTTTTTTTCCTTTTACTCTTTTTTTCCCCTTTTTTATTTTAATATGCCTTCAAGGAAAGAATACATTTTTGTTTTTTTCTTTAATATCTGAATATTTTTTTCCCATGTC